ACGGTTACGCAATCGGAAAAGACGGAATTAGGAGGCCGGCGGCCGAGGCAACCGCTCGCCGCTCTCAGCGTCACACTGTCAATTGAGTCTCCCCAATGCTACCAGTGACATTAATGCCACCGCAGAGTCAGTATGCAGGGCTATGGCTCGAAAAAGCTGTCGACGAACCGTCGCAAGCTCTGTTGATGAAATGAACAAGAGTTCGTTTCGTTTCGATTTAATGAATTGATGTGAAACCACGACCGACTTTGGCTGAAACACTGCAGCGTAAAACAACCTGTCGATGAAACGCCGCTCGATGAACCGATTGCTTAAAATGTACTTAAACAAATAGCCCATGCCGTGAAACGATGACATACCTTGCGGTGATATCCCAAACGGAGCATCAGCACTGGGTTGGATACGGTCCGCTTGCCGTCAACGAAGTGATCTGAGCACACCCTTGACGATGCGTTTGGGACAAAGCCTTCACGATTGACGTTCGCAATCCACTGTCGTCTTAACTCGGAATCCGTCGGGAACGCGTGAAGAACAAACATGTTGCAGCCACACTCGCATTGCGGCTTCTTGTGCTCATCGCACCACTTGGCACGGCTGCGCTTCCGTTTGGAAAAATTGTTACTACACTCGAACACTACGCAATGGTAGCCCGACGATCGACAATTTTCTGACATCTTTACACGGTAAAGAGAAACTATTCAAAAGTAGCCCACGGACGAAGCCGCATGCCTTCGAGAAACGTGACGCGCTCGACCACACCGTCAGTAAGCCTACTCGCCCATACCCTGCGCGGTTGCATACCCTGTGCCCGAGTGATGCACCGGGTGTTCACTGGGTCGAGGGTGCGAGTAGGTCAGTTGCGCGCTGGGTTTGGGGTTACACGAAAAAGGTCGGCGCGCTCCTCCTCTCCTTTTTCCTGCGGCCGCGCGCTCTATGGCTCCGTCGTCGATGTGCCAGGCTTTCTCCGTATAGAGGAGGCTAAGCCTCTGTTTGCTTGCGAGCTCCCAACCTACATCGCCAACAACAACACACCAATGGAGTACCGTTTCCCACTATTGAGGGCGCTCGGTAAAGGCTTTTCTGCGACCCAAACGTCACGCACAGACTGCATGTGCGCGATACTGCCTGTGACAAGTTTGAGGCGCATGCCCTGCCGTAGCGAGGCGCCAGCAAAAAGAACGAGGTCGTTTTCATTGTCGCTTAAAATAAATGTTTCTATTTTCTTTTTTTAGAAAAGGAAGCGCATGGACAGCTCTTACTGGTAACAGTTATCTTGAGAGTTCGATTTTGGGTTGCTAAACGGTATGTTTGGCTAGTTTGTTGACAAGCATCTTCGGTTTAAAACCGTGACAAGACAGGGACAAAGGCAGCCGTGACAAGCCAGGGGAGAGGCCCTTGCTACGTGCACAGGCACGTAGCCAGGGCCTCCCCCCTGGCTACGTGCCTGTGCACACCACTGTAGTCAAGTGCAGCCTGTCCTAAAACATATACCGGAAGTTCGCTGCCCTGGGCTTGTCTGCACCATGCTACACTTTTCTGTACCATGCTACACTTTTCGGTACCATTGTGCTGAAAAGTGTAGAATTCATCTGCTAACGGCAAATGAATGTAAATGCTATTGTGGGGTACAAGGAAACAATCGAAAGCAGACGGTGACCCTTAAAATGAAGGAACAATTCCATTTCGTGTCGAAAATGGTGTTTAGTATATTTGGATGAAGAAACACTCACAGAAAATATTTTGTTTATAGACAAAAGAAACACACACAAGAGCAAACAGAAGCAGACAGCACCCCGTGCTTCTGATCCAAAAGTTGATTACAGTACCAGTCCTAACGTGGTAGCAGCAATGCTATCAATGAAACATTCAAACTTACTGTACTTCAGTTAGGGCAGCTAAAATACATTGAACATGATGGACAGCCATACTTGGATGCCTGTGACATGTTCAAGCTATGCTTTCATTCTTTTCAACTAAATTGCATCTCTTTCCCGCTTGACTTTATCTGTATCTGTCTCATGTACTGAGTGCCTTTCTACAGCCTTCTGCATTTCGTATTAGTCATTAGGCTGTTACAATTCATTTGTAATAATAGATGCTAATTCCCCAAGTGTCATGTGCATCGAAGCGTTTTTGAACAAATATGGACTGAATGAAGAGTATAAAAGTATATTTGCTTTTCTGTTATTGTGCAGGCTCTGTGGTGTCCGCAGCTCCAAGGCATGACTATGATCATCTGAGAATGGTGGTGTTCCTATCTGTGCACTTCTGCTGTGATTCTCATTTCTGCAAGTACATTAAAAAATATTGGTAACATTTTTACAATCTTTTGAAATATTGTTCATTTCTGTAGAATAAACTCACTTTCCTACTGCATGCCATATCAGGAGCTACTGTAAACTCCCGAGATGCTCCACCCCGGAAAGGTAACCCACCCCTATTTTTCGCTTGATTGGCTATTCTTTTAAATATCGAAAGTAATCGTAGTGTGGGATATATGATGACCTCGGCGTAAATACATCTTGTTAGCTATAGCGAGATATAAGCGAACATTGCTGACTGGAAAATATAGTCATATTTGCTTCATTGTCCCTTGCTTCGATAACAAGTTTGGCAGAAAAACATAATCTAAAAATAGTTTATTATTTTTTTTCAAGCTTTCTTGATTGCATGCTGAAAGTTGACCCACACTTCATTTTTAGCCAATTCTTTCTCGATTTCAGGAGGTCTATTTCTCGGGATTTTGCGGCAATAGACTGTCATAGTCTACGTGCTGCATACTTTTTTTTTTAAACAGGCATTTGTGTGAAGGGAGGAGAGCAGTTGAATTTTTTTGTAAACTCTCCATTCATGCTGAAAACTTGCTTTTTAAGACTGACACAGCAGTTAAAATCGTTTGTTATCACAAACCGAGGATGTCTTAAAAGTTTTGAAGACATGGTGGGTTGCATCTATTTCCCCTTGGGTGTCATAAGCGGTCCGCGTGCCTCAGTTCAGAGCCGTATATTGGGAGAGTCTGGCCAGTGGGTGTGGCAACGAAGGCGCTGGAGAGGAGAAAGGTGAAGGAAAAGGAGGAGAGTGCAAAGGAGCGAAAGAGAAAGAAGGGAGCAAAGAGGAGACGATCGCCATTTTGACGGAACACTATTGACTCGGAGCACTGTGGAGGCTACGCGTCATCTGCTACGGGCTTATTTCTTTTTTGCCTGAATCCAAGTTTGCGTTCAGACATGCAGAAGCTTAATTCGTTTGCTTTTTAAGCCACGAAGGAATAACACTGCATCATTTTCTTGCCAGAGCCTGCCAAATAAAAGGAAAGAATCCAAATTTGGATGTCGATCCCATGCTTCCGCCGGGCGAATTAATGAAAATGGCGGCCCTCCCCACTGGGCTGGGGTCCACGCGCATGCGCTCACGCCTCTCGCTCTGCGCCGCGAGCTGATTGGCTCACTCGGGAGGGGGACGTTACGGCGGCGAGATCATAGACTGACCAATCACTCGGGAGGGGGACGTTACGGCGGCGAGATCATAGACTGACCAAACTTTCCCCATATACGGCTCTGCCTCAGTTTATTTAGCCGTGGTTCAGACAAGTTTTTGTTTAGCGGCACTCGTTTTAATGCAGACATTGTCGAGATATACTATTAAGAAAGCAGTTTTATTAGTATGAAACTCAAACTAATTATGTAATCATATACACAAGTTGAACAGATTTCGGCTGTTTAAAACAAGATGTCAAGGCGACAACATACAAGTCCATCATTGTACAAGTCGAGGTGGTGATGTGATACCTCGAGTTCGGGACCACATTCTGAGAGTTCAAGCACGCACATGTTGCTGAAAGCAGTCTGTTGCAAGCATTTCAAGTAACAAAAACACATCATTATGAGACACATAAATGTTGTGGATCTGTACGAATGTGGGGAGCTCTCCTTTCACTACCACGAGAATGTCGTCTTCTCTGTAATCTCCTGCATCTAGGGAAACACTTTTCGTTTCCAAGAGGCTCACTTTGTGCTCCAAGCTTTGAGCAGCAGCTGGCAAATTATCTCTGTTGACCTCTCTTGCACGCAGCATTCTTGGACTTGATTTTGCTTCAAAGGAATTCATTTCAAAGCTCTGCGGCAACTGGTGCCGTGATGCAAGCGTCTTGCAGATGTTTCTGAAATTTTTTACCTTTGAAGCCATGGCTTTAAAATACTGATGCTTTGCTTCAAAGCGAAGGCACCTGTATTGGCGCAAAGGTCCAAGGGCAGCTGTCATCCTTGCGTAGTGCACAATGTAGTGGATTTTTGGGAGGATCCTTGCCTCAGGGTACATCTCTGTGAATGCTTGGATGAAGTCTTCCACTAGAACTTCGAGGTATGCAAGCCAGTCCTCGGGAATCTCTTTAGAGAGCACCACATCAACAATCTGTGCAGCTGGAGGAGCACATTCCGGTGTCTGTTTCCTTCCGGAATAGATGTTCCGAATATCAGGGGATAGAGTCTGAACAGGCACCGTTTTTGAGAGGCCGTGCCTTTGAGGCTTGCTCCTCCCTGAATAAATGCAGCTGTCAGTGGTTCTGGACGGTTTTTCCTGTCATTGAACCCGGAAGGAAAAGTCTCCACTCTCTTCAGATCCTCCAGGCTCAGAGTGCCTTCGTCCATTAGACTTTTTGTGACATGCTTAATGATAAATGCAACCGCACCTTCAAAAAGATCGTGCATGACGTCAAGGGCCATTTGCATCATGACATCAAAATAGGTCAACTGTGATATTGGGGATGGGCCGACAACACCATACAGCTTGCAATTGACCTGAGGGTTTATCTTAACTGCAGCTGAGTGGCTGTTGTGGTTATCTCTTGTCTTTATTTGGCAGTGCTCTTCACTTGTCACGGTACGAAGGTCGCGACTTGTCACCATACAGTAGCGGCATACACGCCCTTGCGAAAAACACGCCGAAAACCCTCCTAACTTATGTTTGGAGAGATTGTCGCCACACGCTGCCATCACAATAACCTACACATTTTGTGGAACACAATTTATAGCTGCAGTGAGGCCAGTGCTGCTGAGTTCTTCCAAATCGTCAAGTAGTGGTTTCAGGATGGCACAAAGCCCATGTTTTTCGACATCCTTAAATTTTGCTAGAATGACTAAGTAGACAGACCTCAACCTTGATCTGTACCGTGGGTGGATGTTTAGCAGTGTGAAATACACTGTTGTCAGCTTGTGGACTCCACGTTTGGCCCCGAGGGGGTTGGCAATTTCCACCTCGTCCATGTAGAGTAGCACAAAGAGCGTCATTACAGATGCGTCTGTCACAACATCTCGTAACCTTTCATACACGGATCCATCCCTGAAGTCTTTATAGGTCTTGTACCCATCGTCTGTCAAAGTGGGGACATGCTCATCAATTAAGAGTTCTGGAGCTGCCTTCAACTGGAGGATATTTGTAAGCACTTTTCCAATCGATACATATTGAAATGTGTCACCTTCATCTCCGACTTTCATTTCATCTGGACTCACAAACGGAAACATGTTTCTTGCGAACTGCTCTCGTGCATGCTTTGACCTGACACAGCTGAAAATCTGTTCAACAAAGGTGCAATCAAGTGGAGTTGCTAGTTCTCTGGGCAGTGCGTGGTAGCTGAATAGCAAGGCCTGTTTAACCTGTCCAGCAAATTGTTCTAATACAACCTGATGCATGAACCGCATGTCTGCAAACACCAAGTCTGCTGCACTGTGAGGCACCTTGTGCTCTTCTGTCAACTTAAAGAAACACATGCAGACAGTCTTGGTCATGGTGGAAAGAAACTCTTCAAATGTCTGAGGCTTGGTGGTGCTGGTGGATGGTGGATTGTCACGACTTCCACCTGGGAGAACTAGGTCATCCTGCGCACTTTCATCTGGGAGAACTGGGTCATCCTGCGCACTTTCATCTGGGAGAACTGGGTCATTCTGTGCACTTTCACACTCCATGGGGCTTTCTAGTTGCGGAGGTTCAGGTGGCGAAATGGCATCCTTGTGCTTCCGGTATAGATGTTTTCTGCACGACTCGACGTGCCTGTATGACTTTCCACAACTGTCCACAGCACATGTGACAAGGAAGTTGTGCTCTCCACTGTGCACGACACCGAGATGACTAACGACCACAGTCAATTTTTCATCAAAAAATTTGCAACGGGGGCACTGAAAGAAGTAAATTTTCTCCATGTTGTAACCGCCTCTCAACCGGCGTTAAGTGTTCTGACAAAGTTCTGCTTGCTTGCTTCGATCTAATCACGCCAAAAGAGAAAGGGAAACTCCACGTTTTTCTGTGTTTTTCTTTTTAAAAAGACGCCAGCATTTCTCGTGCTAGCATCTATCGCGAGTTCGGTGCCCCTGATTGGCCTATTCAACGTCCTACTCTTTCGGAAGCAGCAGACGGCTCTTTAGAGGACACAGAGCAGTGAACTCTGCCTGTAGTAAAATTGCGCGAATGTGGTGTTGACGCGACGCACCATAACCGAGCACCCTCAACGCGCGTTGAAGCACACGTGAAGATGGCCGGTTCTGATAGAACCCAAAGACAATCTCCGAAGCGGCATATCTTATTGTACGAAGCATATCTCCGAAGCGGCATCCTTTGTATACGAGTCGGCTGTTTACCTAGTTATAGGGCCCCCCTCTCTATCGCGTAAACCTTAAAATTTGGCGCGATGAACGCTACGAGCTGCCCGAGCCAATTCATAGCCCGTGGCATGTCATGTGACTTCTCTGTTCTGGCGTCACTCCCCCTCCCCCAAGAGGACACGTGACACTCTCCGAGCTATGGACTGGCTCTAGTGGCTCGTAGCGTCCTTTGCGATCCATCGTAGAGGAACAAAGTATAGCTGCGCGCAGCCTTGCCAAAGGTACAGGCCTGAAAGTGTAACCAACTGAGCGTTGGGAGCTACGTGCCCACCGGACCAATAGCCAAGCAGGGGCACCGGATTTCCCCATGGTTACTCCATTACGAAATCTTAATACAAGGCCCGGGCGCCCAGGCTTGCCTGCGAGCGTTTTAGTTTCGCCTGCACCTCTTTTTCTGTACGCACAGCAGCAAATCGCTGCTCTAGAGCTGAGAAAAAATGAGCGTTACTTGTATAGTGAAGTACAAGGAGTCCTGCAAAAAGCTGGTTGTAGGCGGCGAGAAGGCTGCGGCGGATGTGAGAACGGCTCTTCTCACAAGCCCCTTTAGAGATAACCATGTTGAATATACCTGAGACTGGGGTAGAAAAACATAAAAGTCGAAGAAACAGAACGGGACAGGACGACGTCTCAAACTCAGCTAACAGGTTTATTCAGTCCTCCTCCTTATATAGTCCACAAACAGCCCACCACCAACACAAAGGGGCAACTCTAACCAGTTCAACCGCCAAACCCTCCAGACAGTCACTACCAACACAAAGGGACAACCTCTAAACAGTCCAAACGCCAAACCCTGTAATTCCAAACTAGCGCTATGGACGGCCTTCATGCCGATTCACAAAGATAACTCAGCAATCTCCCCCAAAATATAACAAAAGGACCATTACCTCTTCCAAAGTAACAAGGATCCTCAAACACATAAAAAAAAAAAAAAAAGAGAGAGAAAAAAAAAAAAAAAAAAAACTTTTTTTTTTTTTCTTTTTTCCTTTTTTTTTTTTTTACTTAAATTGTTTTCCTTTCCTCCTCGACGAAAGGATGACACGCACTTAACCTAAAACGGTGCAAAGTTGAACAGTACAGCTTTCCCTCTGTCCACCCAAAAAAAGAAAAAAAAATATATATACATATATATATACACATAAATATAACTATATTTTTAAAAAACTTTTGGAATTTTTACCGAACTGTAGCGACGCCTGGCTTATGCAATTACCTAAAGACTTTATTCGCACCGTCTCCCTTACTAGCCTTTTTGTATCATTCCTCTCCTTGTGAATGATTTCTGTCTCCGACCAAATAGCAGTGCAGTTGTTACATTCGTTGACATGTTTTGCGATTTCTGAGTTCGGTGCATTGTTCTTCACGTTTCTTTTGTGTTCACTTAATCTGTCGTTGATGCATCGTGATGTTTGTCCTACATACTTAAACCCGCATTCCAGTGGTATCTCATACACCACACCATTCTCGCAATCTACCGATTTTTCTCGATGGTTCTTTCTGCAATTGTTCGCACCTGTCTGAAATGGCGTCAATCTACTAAGTTTAAAATCTGAGCTGAAGACCGTGTCTACTCCAAACTTTTTCGCACAAGCCTTCAAGTTGTGCGAAATTTCATGAAAATAGGGGATCACGGCGAAACCAGTCCTTTTACCCTGTTCCTTTTCTCTCCTTCCTTTAATAACTATTTCTAACTGCCGTTTGATAAAACTGTCTTTATACCCTACATTGATCAACCTTTTGCATTGTCTTTTAACCGAATCCGTGATGAAATGAACACACGATCTGTCCAGCGCGTTTCTGACCAACGACTTTACAACCCCAGCTTTTACGGTCTTGGAATGACAGCTAATCCTTGGCAACACCGGTTTAGAACTTTCTTTTCCGTATTCCCAACATACCCCTTGATTTACATGTATACGTAAGTCCAGGAACTCTAGGACCCCTCTTTCTGGTTTTTCCGTAGTAAACTTCAATTCCGGAGCCGCTGACCTTATCTCACGTTCCAGACTGCCCGTTAAATCATTTGTTACCGTGCAAATTATGATGTCGTCTACATATCTTCTTACTAACGCCATACCAGGGGACTTCTCCTTTAGTCTGTTATGCACTACTCGATCCAAGGAGTTTAAGTACACTTCCGCCAAAATCGGTGCGACCGACGAACCTATACAAACCCCGTCTTTTTGAACATACTTCCTTCCTTCGTACTCGATTACCGTCGACTTCAGGTAAACCTCAAGGATCGTTAGGAAACTCTCTACGGAAATACCTGAACCTGCTTGGAACTTTACGAGATTCAACTCCAATGCCTCTCTCACTCTCTGCATCAACCGACTCTTTTCTAGCGAGTAATAAAGGTCCTTAATATCCATGGACACAACAGAACATTGCTGTCCATGAAATTTTTCCAACATGTCAATCAGTTCATTTGAATTTTTTAGAGACAAAGAATTATCTAGGCATGCATACATCAACCCTCGCTGGAGAAACTTTGAAACTACTTTCTGCCAGGTTCCGTTCTCGTTGATGACCGCACGAAGAGGCATTTCAGGCTTATGGTCCTTGAGAAAGAACTTGATACTTAATGTCGATTTTGTAGCACTCGTGATACTTTTTGCTACATTCTTAAAGTCGTCTTCATTCAGGATTGCACAAATGTTCCCTCTCAACTTTCCTACATTGCCCGCCCACTCAGAAAACAAAGATTCCATTGCAACTTCTGTTTTTTTCTTGAATACTGCCATTGGCAAGACGGCAAACTTTCCAGACTTATCCGTTTCCAATAGTTTTAGGGACTTCGTTTCTAACTCCTTCTTAACCGCGTTAACTTCTCTGAAATTTCTTTTGTCTTTCGGGTACGCCTCTCCCATGACTTTCTCCATCCTACTAATAGCGTGATCTATAAAAGCGACCTTTTCTTCGGGTCGCTTTCGCTTTTATAGATCACGCTATTAGTAGGATGGAGAAAGTCATGGGAGAGGCGTACCCGAAAGACAAAAGAAATTTCAGAGAAGTTAACGCGGTTAAGAAGGAGTTAGAAACGAAGTCCCTAAAACTATTGGAAACGGATAAGTCTGGAAAGTTTGCCGTCTTGCCAATGGCAGTATTCAAGAAAAAAACAGAAGTTGCAATGGAATCTTTGTTTTCTGAGTGGGCGGGCAATGTAGGAAAGTTGAGAGGGAACATTTGTGCAATCCTGAATGAAGACGACTTTAAGAATGTAGCAAAAAGTATCACGAGTGCTACAAAATCGACATTAAGTATCAAGTTCTTTCTCAAGGACCATAAGCCTGAAATGCCTCTTCGTGCGGTCATCAACGAGAACGGAACCTGGCAGAAAGTAGTTTCAAAGTTTCTCCAGCGAGGGTTGATGTATGCATGCCTAGATAATTCTTTGTCTCTAAAAAATTCAAATGAACTGATTGACATGTTGGAAAAATTTCATGGACAGCAATGTTCTGTTGTGTCCATGGATATTAAGGACCTTTATTACTCGCTAGAAAAGACTCGGTTGATGCAGAGAGTGAGAGAGGCATTGGAGTTGAATCTCGTAAAGTTCCAAGCAGGTTCAGGTATATCCGTAGAGAGTTTCCTAACGATCCTTGAGGTTTACCTGAAGTCGACGGTAATCGAGTACGAAGGAAGGAAGTATGTTCAAAAAGACGGGGTTTGTATAGGTTCGTCGGTCGCACCGATTTTGGCGGAAGTGTACTTAAACTCCTTGGATCGAGTAGTGCATAACAGACTAAAGGAGAAGTCCCCTGGTATGGCGTTAGTAAGAAGATATGTAGACGACATCATAATTTGCACGGTAACAAATGATTTAACGGGCAGTCTGGAACGTGAGATAAGGTCAGCGGCTCCGGAATTGAAGTTTACTACGGAAAAACCAGAAAGAGGGGTCCTAGAGTTCCTGGACTTACGTATACATGTAAATCAAGGGGTATGTTGGGAATACGGAAAAGAAAGTTCTAAACCGGTGTTGCCAAGGATTAGCTGTCATTCCAAGACCGTAAAAGCTGGGGTTGTAAAGTCGTTGGTCAGAAACGCGCTGGACAGATCGTGTGTTCATTTCATCACGGATTCGGTTAAAAGACAATGCAAAAGGTTGATCAATGTAGGGTATAAAGACAGTTTTATCAAACGGCAGTTAGAAATAGTTATTAAAGGAAGGAGAGAAAAGGAACAGGGTAAAAGGACTGGTTTCGCCGTGATCCCCTATTTTCATGAAATTTCGCACAACTTGAAGGCTTGTGCGAAAAAGTTTGGAGTAGACACGGTCTTCAGCTCAGATTTTAAACTTAGTAGATTGACGCCATTTCAGACAGGTGCGAACAATTGCAGAAAGAACCATCGAGAAAAATCGGTAGATTGCGAGAATGGTGTGGTGTATGAGATACCACTGGAATGCGGGTTTAAGTATGTAGGACAAACATCACGATGCATCAACGACAGATTAAGTGAACACAAAAGAAACGTGAAGAACAATGCACCGAACTCAGAAATCGCAAAACATGTCAACGAATGTAACAACTGCACTGCTA